AGGTGGTTAAGAGGCCGGCACCCACGGATGAAAGGACGCAACAGCCGATCATAAAGGGGGCGTAGTATCCAATTGCCGTGACTAACCATCCACTCATAATCACTCCAATGACTAGGGATAAGATCATGGGGAGGTTCATAATTCCAGATTTGACAGCGCTAACACCTTTGATAGCTTGGAACCAGAGCGGGAGGTAGTAAATGATCGTCATCATCGAGGAGCCGAGACAAATTGTGAACCAGAAGGCGGAAAGAACACTGCGCTGGACGAATATGCGGGGTGGGACGGTTGCTTCCTCCTTGTGCCAGATCTGGACTGCGATAAAGGCAATGAGAAGGATGCCAAAAACGACAAACAGCGCAATGATTCTCCCACTTGACCAAGGGTATGTTGTGCCTCCCCACTGGAGGGCAAGGAGAAGGCAAATAACGCTCGGCATGAAGCAAAGAGTGCCTAAGGGGTCCAATTTGAGGAATTGTTGGTACAGCGTCAAGCTTGCTGTGCTCTTTCGAGGGATGTTGATGCGGAGGAGGAAAGTAACGATGACCAAGGTAACGGCTCCAATGGGAAGATTGATGTAAAAACACCATCTCCAAGTGACTTTGTCGGTAAACAGGCCACCAAGTAAAGGGCCAGCAACGGAAGCAATACCAAACATACCGCCCATCAAACCGGTGTACATCGGCCGCTTGCGCAAGGGAACACTATGGACGATGATGATTACAGTCCCTGAGAAGGCACCAGCCGAACCAAGCCCAGCAATAGCTCGACCAATGATAAAGGCGGTTGAGTTAGGAGCCGCTCCGCACACTGCTGAGCCGACCTCAAAGATCACGATCGCAATGAGGTAGACCCATTTGGGGGAGTAAAGCTGGTAAAATTTGCCAAAGAGTAGCATGAAGGAGCATCCAGTGAGTAAATAGCTGCTACCATACCAGCCAATATCTTGAATGGAATGGAACTGATCTGTGATCTTCGGGATGGCGGTAGCGATAATAGTTCGGTCCTACGGTGAAGTTAGAAGAATGCATTATTGATGGTAAAGGGTGGAAAGGGGTAGACTTACCAGAGCGATAAGGAACACAACTAAGTATAGTGCTATCATGATTGGGATAACTTTCTTTGCTGACGGGTACTGGGAGTCATCTTGCACGACAACCTTCTCCTCGGTGCCAGTGCTCTCCTCATCGATAGAACGTTTCTCTGGTTCCCCCATGGCTGGACGTAGAACAACAGACTCGTTCGGGTAACGATAAAAAGCAGACGTATCAATCAGTCTGGTTGTAATGATAATGATATGCTGTATTGAATATTTGAAGACCTCTTGATGTGATGGGTATTTCCATCATGACAGTCAACAGGCGCGGCATGACTGTTAATTATATACTACAACTTTTCGTGTACTTTCAAACCGGCCAACTCTTTGAAACAAACTCCGAGATGATATTGTGTCTGCCTGAGTCAAAGGCATGGAGCAAGAAAACTCTATGATCTTAACTCCGGCGATCGACTCTTCCCGTGGTTCGGAGCGGAGCGCCCTTGGCTTCGGCCCCGAGACGGGCGTTCTGGGCGCCGACATCTTCTCGGGGCCATAATAAGCTGGTGCATTCAGTGAGGAAGTCATATTGGGTCTATCTCGTGCCCGAAGTATATATGCAGCCTTATGGACATCCCAATTGCTCCTGCGGCCGAACAATGCGTTTGTACCTGCGAACTGGATGATAATCTCGATGTTGACAACTGCGAACATGGGAGAAAAAGAGAGAGAAAGTCTGCTGACTCATCCGGGAAGTCGGCGTCTATTAAGCTCCGACATCACGTGGAGAGGCTTGGCTCAGGAAGGCTTAAAAGCTTGATTTCGTTGTTTATTTTTAGTGTTTTTCACTTTCCTTCGCTTTGATTGGACGGACTTTACCTATTCTCCTTCAGTCACGGAGTTAGCGGAGACATCTCACGCATATACCTTATGAAGGCTCTCTGCTTCCTGTTCTCAACGAAGGACAGGATTATCTTGCTTACCTTGAAAAATACTTGATAGATAGCCCTATCTAAAGGAGAACACGGATATAGTGAGTAACCAACGTGTTCTCCAACGTTGCGAACCACGTATGGCTCAAACCCAGCAAATCCTCATACAAACATCACCCAATCACAACCCGCTACCATTGTATATAGAAGCGACCAGGTAGCCCCCAGTTTGGGATTCTGGATAGATGTAAGCCAGTACATGTTTTACCTGAAATTACTGCCACATCAATTACGAATGCTGCCATTCCTGAGGCTTGGGTGGCTGAGTAGGAGCTTCCAGATACTGTCACAGGTCTATTACTGTGAGTCTTGTTGTAATGACAACTCCGGGGGCATAGAAATCAACTATACATATTATAAGTATTGTCAACGTAACAAATATAGTCGAGAGAAACTACATAGAAACTTACCAATGGAACCATAACTACTGAAACTAGCTGGGACATCGGCTAGCGAGCGGGCTGGAACGGTACGGACACCATTAGCTGAGGCAGGGGACCCCTGGCTCGCATCACGCTAAACAACATGATTAGTTGGAAGCCATATTGAGAAGCGTAAAAGGAGTAAGCGTATATTCCCTGCACCAACTGAGGCAGCAACGAATATTCACGCCTTGATTACGTTTTCGGTCGCATGGCTCATAGTCGCGGAGAACGACCCTCCGAAACTCGTATTCATGACTGCCTTGCCTACAGTATTCCTTCTGGTGACAACACTACTACTCCAATCCATCCCCATTGTTATGCCAGAAATGGAACCAGATCCATTGTTATCCAGAATCTTGACACTGGACCACCAAGGCGTTTTTGACAACTCCATAGACAGTTCCAGCTATTATTTCGGCAGCAGAGGTCCCATGACCACTTCTGTCACCCATCTCCATCGGGTGTGGTATTGATTCCCTGGATGGTACGGCCTCTCAGGTCACAGTTGGTGCCATCACCGCCAGTATCGCGTGGTTATTCTGTCCTGCTCTTTCTTCATAAACGTATTCGGGGGTAGGAGGCAGCTTCTTGTGCGACATGGTGAGCTCCCTAGACTTTACCACTCACTTCAAGATGCATTATGCTCCTAGTAAGATGCCATATTCCGTACTACTTACCTTCACCTTCCGATATGCCCCGGTCTACCAAACGTAGTTGAAGGCATCAGAGCAGGAGGACTCCCATACATCCTCTCTTTCTCCGGAGCCAGTGGACATGTAGACAAGGGAGTTGGGGCTAGAACATTATCCTCCGCAAATGCGTTAGTCAGGACATGGGTATTTTGGGACCTAGAAACTTTGACCAAGGGAGTTATAATGGAGGTAGAAACTGATCCTTAAACTTAGGACTTCAACTGGGCATTTTGAGAGCGTACAAAGATGGCGGAATACGAGTAAATAAGCAGCAGGATTTTCCCTTTCGTACCCATCATTCTCTCCAGACCTTGCCTCTTGGCTTATTCCCCTTAACTGGCTCCCCTTGACTTAGGTGTAGAAAACTCTCTGTACTGTGTTAGAACCCAACTATATATCTTTAAGCAGGTGCCTCTTAGACTTAAGGCTTTCTCACCTTGAACTTTGAGAAGTGAGAGTCTCTTTGTCTCAGTAGATGTTCCTGTATTTTATCCCTTAACTTCTCACGTTGTGCAGCCCGGCAATCCTTCTTATGCACACTATGATGTTCTCTGCGGCACTCCAGCGAGCAGTACCTATTATAGTGAAAAAGAATATTAGAACCTTAGGTAAAATCTGGAGATGGCTACCATCTAGCTCTAGGCTAATAGACTAATACGCTGTATAAATAGAATAAGTGAACTGTATAGAGAAACACTTACCGAACTACCTTGCAGCCGCTACAAAGCATAAGGTCTTCAGTGCTTCCACACATCATACAGGAGGGAGAAGGTGGCGTGGCGAGGCCAGAAATATAGGTGTCGCGTAACTCGGCTGTAAGTCGCCCAGCTTTTTGATCGCAAGATCCAGCAGTCCGGCAAATAGGCACACCATAGCCCCAGACAGATCGACGGATGGGGTCAACGGTCCCAGCCTCAGGAGACAGAAAAGAGACGACTACCAGGTTGAACGTTGAGGCTTTGATACCGCAGAACTGGCAGTCCCAGGACCTCATGGCAAGTAGATCGGCATGATGGCGCGCAGCCAAGTTCGCTACAAAGCGGCAGGCCAAATGGGCCGATTCAGGGGTATGGCCAAAGCCAGGCAGGCAGATGGCTCTAGGAGCAAACTCGGCAAAGGTGAACTTCAGCCCATCTCCTCCGTTGACTCCAGGATGACGGACACCGCAAAGTCCCTCATAGACAAAGGGGACAAGCTGCCCAGGGGGGTTAAGGACTTCACTAGGAGCTTCACGGGGAGGACGCGACATTTTGATAACTGTTTATTTGGCGCCGAGGAGGTTCAAAGCAAGTACCAAAGAAGACGAGATAAAGAGGATAAAGTAGATAAAAAGAGGCAGAGTAAGGGGAAGCTCAATATCACCATCCTTTTGTGGCTTGATGAAATCCAAGGTGTATTGTCATGAGGCGCGACAGGAGGACACTAATATGTGTTTGTTGTTATGTCCTCTAGGGAGCTTTGGTTGTCTCGCTAATGACAAGCTGACAGCCCTAGCAACTTTACCCTTCCAAATAGTAAGATATACTTCCAACCAAAGGTCGCCCATTCTAGGTATTCGGGTATCACTTTGCCAAAAGATAGCAACAGTACGTATTTAACGCTATAAATAAATAGAAATTGAATAGTTTTTATGTATAGCCAGTGGCCATATAGTCGATAAGGTAAGGAAAATGAGTGAACAGACCTAATGAAGGAAAAGATGTCACATATGATCTAGAATTAAACAAGCATATTCAACAAACCATGTATATATGGACATAAGGAAGTGAAAAAGAAGCAGAAGATAAAGAAGCGGAATCAGTCATGCAAAATAAACGTGAGGCATGGTGTAGCCAAGGCAGAGTACATTGGGTATTTACTCTGGCTTCTTGCCAACCATGAGGAACATAGGAGTGAAGAGTTTCATCTCTCCGCCCTTGACTAAACAATCAGCAGCGTATGCAAGGCTGTCTCCAGTCTTCTGAGAGCCTTGAGGGAAGAGACCAAACTTCTCCATGGAGCCGAGGACGCGGTGGACTATGGAACGACCCCACCAGGTCATTCTCATGATGGTGAAAAGATCTCCAATTGAGGACATGTGCTTCCAGGAGCCAGCAAGGGGGTAGTACCATGGGCTGGGGTCGGGACGGTTGGCAAGATCTTCCACTTTAAGAAGCTCAAAACCGGCGGCCTTCATAGCCTCGACGGCAACGGATTCCTTTACCATGTTTGAGATACCATCTCCCTGTTCGATTCCAAGGCGGATCTCTCGGTGAACAGGGTTGTCGTTGTCGTACTGATCAGTCATGACCCATTCATAAACGCCAAACACACCACCTGGCTTCAGAACCTTGAAGATCTGAGAATAAACACCTTCTAGAGAAGGGGCGTGAACGGTAGCTTCTATAGCGTAGACGGCATCAAAGGTATTTGGTTCAAAGGACATTTGCATAAAGTCACCCTTAACAAATCGCAACTGCTTAGAGAGACCTTCTTTCTCGGCGTAACGCGTGGCACGCTCAATTTGATAATCGTTATTGTTCAAACCAACGATATTGACACCGGCGAATTTGGCGATCTCTCTAGCAGGGCCACCGACACCGCAGCCAACATCCAGTACAAGCTGGTTCTCTTTTAGGCCGATCGAGTGTGCTAGATAGTGTTCATGTCGGGCAATGGCTTGACGGAAAGGTTCGCCGTAGGCGAAACGGCAGAAATGGAATGAGCTTCCCCACCCGTATTCGTAAAAATCGGTGGCTAGGTTGTAATAACTAGATGCGATTGTCAGACCCCGCGTCCATTATTGCCATTCTACAGACAACCGCAGCAGAAACTTACTGTCTGGTGAGAGTAGCATATTCAGCTCTTCGTGCCTGCAGAATGCGATACCCACTTAGCATGGTGATTGCAGTAGTCAGTGGAGATAGCGCACCTCTCTGGTTTCTTCAGTCTCATCAGCAGAGGGCTTCTTGTCCCAATGCTTGAAATACTCATCAACAGCAGCCTGCTGGGCCTTCTTATCCTTTCCCATCATAGCAGCAAGGCCACCCTGGGCCTTACTGGTGTTGCCGTGCAGGACCTTGTTAAATGCCGCATCGCGCTCATGGTTCTCGGCTTCAAGTTGAGAAGACGACATCGTGGTATATCTGTTTTATTCTCTGAAATCGGCGTGGATAGCGAGCGGGAACAGCGATCGAGGATGTGCGATAACAGGTGAAAAAAAGGGGTTGTTGTTGTTGCTGTTGTTGTGAGTTGGCAGTTTTGAATATCTTGCTTGCTCGCTTTTTTTTTTTTTTTTGCATCTCGAAATGAACAGAAAAATAAACTTTCCCAAAAGGGGCTCAGAGGCTTGGCATAAAGCTGTTCCTTTTTGGTTTAGCCTCAGCTGCCAGTCATGTGATGCGGAACGCCGGGCTCTTCCATTTTGGGATCATGCCATTATCACGTGAAAAAATTTACTAATAAATGACTAATGTAGATTACTAATATAAATTACTAATCAAATCTACTCGCTGAAGCAAAAAAGATTCTAAGGAAACAAAGTTGAAGATAGAAAAAAGCAGAAGAAGCAGCCAAGCATACAGCAGGGAGACGGGCATTCATAGCTGTTCTGTTCTCGAAGATGCCTCCACAGATCAAACAAGATATCAACCGGTCAGGATGGGAGACCACAGACTTTCCATCCGTGTGCGAACAATGTCTCCCCGAAAACCCTTACGTCCAGATGCTCAAGGAAGACTATGCCGCCGAATGTAAAATCTGCACTCGACCCATGACCGTCTTTCGATGGAAGGCGGATCGGACGTCTCGAACGAAGGCGACAAATATATGCCTGACGTGCGCGCGACTAAAGAACTGCTGCCAGTGCTGCATGCTGGATCTTTCTTTCGGTCTACCTATCGTTGTTCGAGATGCGGCTTTGAAGATGGTTGCTCCGGGCCCACAAAGCTCAATCAACAGAGAGTATTATGCGCAGGAACACGAAAAGGAACTGGAGGAAGGCAGGGGAGCTGTTGAGGAATATGAAAAGACGGACGAGAAAGCACGAGAGCTGCTACGGCGCCTGGCCAACAGTGAACCATACTACAAGAGACAGAGGAGGTTAGAGGCCAGTGGAGAGGCCAGCAGCTCCAGTGCGGCTGCAGGAGAAGGGCAACGGTCATCTGAACCGGAGAAGATAGGGTATGGACCCGGCCCGGGTCCTGTGCGGACAAGTGACTTGCGTCGCGGCGCCGGTCGAGGTAGAGGCGGTGGCCGAGGCCGTGGAACACGCCCATACCCCCCAGTATCTCAACGAGCTCCAGGGCCACAGGACATCGAACCACCCGCAGACCCCAATATCACTTCCTTATTCATTACCGGAGTGGAAGACGATCTCCCCGAACATGCTCTCCGCACATTCTTTACCCCCTTTGGTACCATAAGATCGCTCGTCTGCTCGCATAGATCACATTGTGCGTTCATTAATTTTGCGTCACGGGAATCAGCAGAAGCAGCGGCAGCAAAGTGTCAGGGCGTTGCGGTGGTTCAGGGGTGTCCCCTTCGAGTTCAATGGGGAAAGCCTCGCCCGTTGGATAACATGGAGAGAGACGAACGGATACAGAACGCGCGTCAGGGAAGACAAACAGTTGCAGCCGTCAAGGGTGGAGGAAGAAAGGCAATTACTCAGGGTTCATCCGCACAAGAGGGAGACGGAGAGTCAGATATCAAGACTAGTGATCAAAGTTACGCCGTGGCACCGCCGCCTGGCCGTGGAGAGGTCCAGTACGCAAGCATGGCTGGAGATTGATACCATTTTTTGTTACTTTTTGTTTTCATTTCCAATACCTTTAATATGTTCCAGGGAGGCATTAGCGTTTTCGTACCGGCGTTTATCTACTGGCAAGGTGTCAAACTAAGAATCATGAAAAGAAATGAGAATAATTCAATATGATACAGATTTTGAGCTTTACAAACGCGTCAAAACAGTCTATTGCACATGGCTAACTTGAAGTAGAATGATATATGAAACCGCCAAATAATGCATCCAAACGCCGCCGTTCCAAATGTTGAGTATCCCAATTGACATGAGATTTAATAATACTCTCCACGCCATAGTCGAATCCGAACCCCATCTTTAACAGGATCAGCGTATCCTCCCAGATACTTGATGTCAAGCAATATTATGAGGAGCAGCATCCCTTTCCAACCTTAACTGGCTTCTCACCAGCAGCTTTTATAGTATCATTGTCTCCGCGCTCCGTATATTCGTGTATCCGCAAAGCTGTAAATTGAGAATAGGTTAGTTATAATTCAAACGACACAGTAGTTAGAAGGAAACATACAGTATCGATCTACCTTCTCTCCTCCCTCTTCCTTAGTCTCTATCTTTGTCCCTTGAACAATATTTGTCTTCAGAATATGCGCTGTTTCGAGCGCATGTTGAATTTTCAATGGAGTATCAACGCCGAGTTGTCGGTTTTGTTCAAATTGTTTGCGAGCCTCTGCTCGAGCAGCATAGAGAACGGGATAATCTCCTAGACAGCATATTAGCACGTCGAGTTTATTCCATGCAGCAACGAAATCCTATACCATTGAATGCGATCCGAGTAGCCCGGAGTAGCTGACGGTATGCGCTGAGAGCAGACACCGGGCTGGTTGCTGCGGCCATAGAAACTTATTTTAAAGGCGAAACTGGAGTGGTAGAAACAGAAAGAAGTCAAGGACAGGTATAAATGATCACCAAGGGTTAAGTTGTCTCCGGTTCTATATCAGCTATTCGTAGTTTGATGTCTCTTCCCTTCGTCTTTTCTTCCTCCTGGGCGTAGAGGTAGTTAATGGCCCAAAGCAGACTAGCGCCAGATCCATCGACTTTTTTTTTTTTTCTCTTTACAAAAACTTCATCCCACTTTGGAGAGTGAAGAAATGACAACGAGGTTGATAGACGATACAAGTTAAGACTGCGACAAGATGTCGAGCATAGAGACAGTCCACCTACCGCTCCCTCGCCTTCCTGAAGGCTGGGCTGCTGCAGACAAAGACTTCAAGGCAGTAGGATGCTTGTCCGCTGCGACCAGACGCAACGTTGAGCCCGTTGGCCCGCACTTTTTAGCCCACGCTCGCCGTGTAAGTCATGCCAATTGCATAATATGATAACATTATACCGCTCAGTTATCTGATATGCAAGTTTCTACACTTATAGAAGCGCCATAGACGAACTTTCTCTGAGGATGAGCGAATCCTTGCGCAGGAGAATGTCAAGAAGATTGAGGAAGACGATGCCGACGAGATCAGCGAGCCAGAGGACCCAATGATGCTACAGAGAGATGCTAAGGACTGGAAGGTATATATTACTTATCCGGTTTGATAACTTGCCGGTTGGATGCTGTTGCTAACCGCTTCATTTGCTATCTAGGGTCAAGATCACTACGCTGTGCTCGGTCTTAGCAAATACCGATGGAGAGCTACCCCCGAGCAAATCAAGAAGGCTCACCGCAAGAAGGTCCTCAAACATCACCCGGACAAGAAGGCTGCTGCAGGTGCTGGTGATGAGAACGACAGCTTCTTCAAATGCATTCAAAAGGCCACCGAAATTCTACTCGACCCTGTCCGTCGACGCCAGTTTGACTCTGTCGATTCTGCTGCAGATGTTGAACCGCCGAACCCTAAGAAGAAAGGGGACTTTTTCAAGCTCTGGCATCCGTTCTTCAAGGCCGAGGCTCGTTTCTCTAAGATTCAGCCTGTTCCTATGATTGGAGACGATAACAGCACGAAACAAGAGGTCGAAACTTTCTACAACTTCTGGTACAATTTTGACAGCTGGAGATCATTTGAGTACGAAGACGAGGATGTTCCGGACGATAATGAAAACCGTGACCACAAACGTCACATTGAACGCAAGAATGCCAATGCCCGTAAGAAGAAGAAGACAGAGGACACCGCCAGGCTACGACGAGCCGTCGACGATGCCCTCGCCGCCGATGCCCGAATTAAGAAGTTCCGCAAGGAGGAGCGTGCAGGCAAAGACAAGCGAAGACTCGAGAAGGAAGCTGAAGCTAAACGCCTAGCCGAAGAAAAGGAGAAAGCTAAACTTGAGGCAGAACGACTGGAGAAGGAACGTGAAGAAGCCGCCAAAGCCGAGCGAGCTGAAGGCAAAAAGGCCAAAGAAGCCGCCAAAAACGCAGCTAAGAAGAACAAGCGTGTACTCAAGGGCAGCGTTAAGGAGGTCAACTACTTCGCAGAAGGAGATCCGTCTGCGGCTCAGATCGACAGCGTCCTCAGTGACGTCGAGCTGATCATGAGCAAGATCAACAACGATGAATTGGCCACTATTGCATCAAAGCTTACTGCTGCCGGCAAGGATGGTGCTGCTGTGAAGGGCATTTTTTCTGCAGAGGTCACCAGGCTAGTTGGCTCTGGGGCCCTCAAGGAGGGCGATATAAAAACACTGACTGTTTAGATTCCTTTTCTTCATTTTCTTCTTTTCTTGATTATGGAGCAGAGAATCGACTTCCTGGTTCAGATGAGATATAGATGGCAACGAATTGGCTTTTATAACCCCTCGAAAATAATGATATTTCTATCCTGACTAGACTCCCTGGAACCCCGGCGTATAGTTAACTCTCCTGCATCCGCCTAGCCTTATACGATGTGTTTGTATCATTGCTTGCTAGTTAAAAAGGTATCAAAAGTAGACGGTTCAGCGGTAGCTAACCAGTCAACTAGTGGTAATTCGTTTTTCGCTGTAGAAAGTATATTGACTAACTTCGTTTACCTGCTGCAGGCTGATTCAACTCGACTCCATGACCTCCTCGTCTCTCCACCATCGACACCCGTCTCTCATCCTGCTTCTAGAGACCACCATTGATATCAACAGCAACGGTGTCCTACGCTGCTCCAGTCTTTTACCTACCATTGCGTAGCAATGATGCAAGTGGCGCATCTCGCCGGTTCGAACGACTGTCTAGAAGAAGCTTATACCCCATCGTCGATTAACTCCCGGATGTAGCTTTATGAAGTCATCATCATCAACAAACAGAGCAAAACTAGGAGAAACAGGTCCCTTTGACCTTGCTACCCATCCATGGTAACAGATTCATTGTCTACAGGGAGAAGACCGGAATCAAAAGCCGCCACCGGGTCTCCTGATGCCTCCAG